ATGTCAAATCGAAGAGAACAAAATTCTCGATTTTTGATATAATTTGTTTGATTATAAATATTAATTATTTTTATAATAATTTAGTTTAAAATTAAGGGGTAAAAAATTAAATTAAAAAAAGAAAATAAAAAGTCCGTAGGTGGGTTAAATCCTAATTTCCATTTTTGTTCATAATCACTTCTAAATTAACATTTTTATATTTTAATCATTTATTAGTTCTCTAAATTTTAATCAATGGTCAAGATATGTTCTCATGTTCACAAAAAAAAAAACATGGTTTCCATTTGAATCTACCCCTGTCTATGTGTGCATGCATGCTAGAGAGAGGGAGGTTCAAAGAGGAAGAATAAATATTGTGATAAATTAGGAAAATAATGTTAAATGAATGTTCATATGTGAATAATTGAAATAATACATTTAAATATGCATCTGTTAACCCGTCCTGAATATTCTATTAATTTTGAAATGATACATACATGAACTTTCGATTATTATCTTCTCAATATATTTAGTTGTTTTATTATAATCATGCGAGAAACAAACTAATTTGCAAAAATGTGAAAAGGAATATGAGCCATATACATCATTTAATAAATGAATAAGAAAAATATTAAATCAAATTTAAAAAAATAACATGTATGTAACTGTGGTGAAAATCCCTAATAAATATTGCTTGTATTTATTTTCAAAAATTGATTTCCAATAATCTTAATATACCGATTTCATCACAAATAAATTTGTAACAACTATATTATAAGTTTTTGACACATGTGATCATTTGTTCGGTTTATCAATCATATGTGATAATTGTAGATATATTTGTTAATCATATGTGATTATGGATATTTATATAATGAAAATATTATCACATGTGATTATACGTTACTTATGTTCAAACTTATATTATCATATGTGATATGTACAAAAATATACATTGTGGATCATATGTCATACGAAACTAATCACATGTGATTCAAAACGTGGATTCAATAACCAAAATGGTGGTGCCTGATTAGTTTGAGCTTGACTCCAAAGATTAAAAGTACCAGAAGATATCAGGTTCAAATCAAGGGAAATAAAAATCCATTTGTAGCCACAGAGGTTCAGATGCGGTGACTCTGGGCTATCTGCAAAGCAGGTGGTCATCATGTGATTAGTCGGCTCGCATAGCGGGTTGGATATCCAGGTTAATAAAAAAAACGTGGATTCAAGAAATAGAGAAAATATAATTGGAAAAATTAATGAATTGATTGTAGATATCAAATTTGATAAATGATGAAATTTTTTGAATTGTTTTGTCAAAAGTGTATTTAGAAAAAAAATAATAATAGAAAAAACTCGATAGAAAAAATTAAATTCATTAAAAAAAAAGTAGAAAAAGAGTGGTCGATGGTTGGAAAGAGTGGTTTATGTAATAAGATGCATCTAAAATCATTTTTATGAATTAAAAACAGAAAAATAAAAATGGAGAAGGGGTGAAATGACAAAAGTAGCCTTGTAGAGACAAGGTGGGTGTCGGCCAAAGTGTCAGCTTGGCAGTTGCCAAATGGTGGTGCAGTAATTGGCCGACAGTCGCGCATCGCCATTCAACTATTTCAACCCAATTAAAATTAATATTCCAGAAACATTTAATACCCAAGAAAAAGATATATAACTAAATTTAAATTAATTCTCTTTATTTTTTATATTCATATCTTTCCTAAAATAAATCAGGTAAACATGTGTGTGTCATCATGTTTCTCTGTGCTTGGAAAACATAATATAATATATATAGTTATAATTATAAAATATGTAATTAAGGGGTCGTTTACCAAGATAAACGTTTATTAAATTATATTACATTATCAGATGAATGTAGTAAGAATTAAGCATCTTATCTGATAAAAGCGATCACAACAACTGAGAATCTTACCTAATAAGTGAGGGTGACAACTCAAGTAAACAACAACATATGATGTCATTTTGATGGATTAAAATTTTATCCGATAAGATATGTAATAATGTCGAATCTTACTAGTAAATGTTTAAGTAAACGGCCCCTAAGAGTTATAAATCATACGTTCGATCTTGGTTTTGTTATGGTTTTACAAAAGATGGTTGCAAAAACTACACGGATGACTACATAATTTCCGTTTTAAACAAAAGTAATTATAATAAAATAAAAATCACAAATTCGTGAATATTATAGAAAAACTTATGGTTCTAAATAATTTGTCAGGGCCTCTTTATGATGACGAGGCTTTGCTTCGATGTCATGTTAATCCGTATGACTTCACTTTTTAGGCTTGGTTTCCATTGTAACATGTTATAGCATGTTATGGTGCGTTATCATGTATTGTTTCGCGAGACATGGTTTTTTTTTAATTACTTTTTTTCAAGCATAACTTGGAGGATAAATGATAATTGTGACGATATAATCCTCAAATAAACATTAAAATGAAACATAAAATCTAAAAACCCTAAATAGGTAAATCTTTACTTTCATTCCCGTACATGGAGAGTTGAACGAGAATTCTTTGAAGATTGGAGCATGTAGTGCGTAGAGACTCAAATCAAAGATTTAATCCTCATTTGTCATTCTTAATATCATTTTCTTATAAGTTCGATATATGTGATATAAATGATTCTTTTTTTTTAGTTTTATTACTTTATATTAAATTTAAACTTTTATGGGATTATTTAAAACAGTAACACACACAAATATAATATATATATATATATATACACACACACACACATATAAATAGAGAGAGAGAGTCTGTTTCAAATGTTAACTAAATTTATTGTGTTAACTTTGTTAACCATTTTCAACCAATGACAATTCATCTTATATATAGATTTCTGTCCATCTTAGAATTTAATGACAAGGATAAGTATGTAATTTTCTTTTTTATGTAACTCTCATATCAATAATTGGGAGTTACAAAATCATAAAATCTCATGATTTTTGTTAACTTATTATTGAATATCCAATTATGTGAACATCAAAATGTGTATAAATGTATACCTTCATGTTGTGATCATATATGTTCTAAACCTCTATCGATAAGACCATATGTGTTCGTACCTGTACAAATGGGTCGTTCATCATCTTGCATATGGTTAGATAATTGACACATGTTTCACATGTGTTCATAAATGATTGAAAGATTTTGTATATATCGATTTGTGTTCATAATGAAAAAACCATTGTTCACAAGATGTTCATATTGTGTTCATATGTAGACTAGCTGCATTTTCTCAACAATGGTTGACTCCTGAATATGTTCATAATGAAAGAGCTATAGTTCACGAGCTGTTCATATTGTGTTCATAACTGTTTTTTATTCTTACTACCTTTTGTGTAACAGCTATTCTTATCGTGTTCATAAATGTTCATGTTGTGTTCATACCTGTTCCGAGATGCTTCAAGACACTTTGGTAACGATATTTACTGTTTTCATAACTTATGGTATCAAAAGCATATGATATTTTTCATAAATACCCTCTTCCACTTAGTTCCCATATGTTTGTGAAATTGTAAATTTAATAAATTAATTTTTTAATATGATTAATCACAACCGTTTATTGTAAGAATCAATGGTCAAGATTGGTTAACAAAGTTAACATAATAAATTTGGTTAACATTTGAACTAGGCCATATATATATATATATATATATATATATATATATGTGTGTGTGTGTGTGTGTGTATATACATATATCACCTTAGGGTACGCCTTGAAAAATATCATGATCTACTGTAACTTGTAAGGCTTGAGGTCAATTACCACCATGTCATGTCTCACATTATTCAGAACCTTAGGAAAAATATACGTTAAATGTTGACCGTTAATATCGATTCATGTTCTAAAAAAAAACTTGTAGTTTTTCTAAATTTATAAAATCATAGTTTTTATCTTCACAAGATATATAATTATACTAAAAGTTAAGAGCCAACCATAATGGTTTTCTATAGAATTCATTATGTATAACTGTTAGCAAGTTATGCCAATATTTCTAGAATATATATTGTAATATGTGTCTTGTAAGAACAAGTATTTTTACGTTCATTTTTCTAATAAAATATTTATTGGAGGACAAAGTTTCAAACAAGCCGTATTATCGTTTTACAATATGTTTGTTTGTTAATTTTAAAAAATTAATGTATGAGAAAACTACAAATGTGGCATCATGTGTAACATGCAAGATGAAACTTTTAAAAGATATAATCACATATGCATGATATTTGTCATGGTTCCATATCCAACATAACATTTAATATTTAAAAGAAGGTCGTATTTATGATTTATATATAAAAGTACACATTATACATTTCAAATATTTGTCTAATAATCAAACACACCGGTTATTAATCAGATTCAACATTAACTAGTAGTACCTCGTGATTATTTATTGCTATTACTGTTAATTAATAAATTAATAATTTTTTTTTATAATTATAATATTAGATTAAGTTTAGAAATTATTAAATATAGACAGTAAAACCATTTCGAAAACTCATTTATTTTATAATATGATCAATAATTCGTTAAAAAAGGAATTATAAAATAATAAAATATAACAAATAAATGTGGGTAGCAGTTGAAGGAGAGTGTCGGTGAGTTAGAAGTACATATATGCCCCCACACATATATAAATTTAAATCATTAAATCTCACCCTTAATAAGAGGAAAGAGACACATAACGAATCCGATACCAATTTCCCCTAATAATTCCATTTCTATAATTTACAAAATCAGTCCTTCAACTATTCATACTTTTCATTTTATATCCTCCGGTTTCTAATTCTTTACTTTATTGAAAAAGATAAATATAAATACAGATAGATATATATGTATAGGTTAAAGTCCTTCCACCTGTATCCGAGTGAAAAGCATGTCGTAATTTATAAAGCAAGTGGACACCGGAACACAACACTTTGAGTGACCCCACCCCCCACCCCTCATTCTTCTCCTTTATATCCCTTCCCTCCAACACTCTTTCGCTTCAGGGCTCCAATTATCACACACCCTTCTTTGATAATTACTCAGCTCTATCCACTCGCATCAATGGCGTCACCGCCGGATACTAGCAAGACAACCAAACTCGAAAGATACAATAGCTATATCCGGAGAGTAAATAGCACCAAGCTTTTGGCTGCTTCCTCCAAGCTTCTGTTTCGGGTTACCCTTTTGGTAGCTTTGATCTTGATCTTCTTCTTTACGTTTAATTATCCTCCAGCTTCCGATAACGTTGCTAGTCCCGCTGGCCGCCATGTCCACACCACATCCCATCTCTTGTCTTCCGCGTTTTACGGTAGTGGTGCGTCGTGGGAGAAGGAGGTGAGGCGTTCGTCAACCCCTCGTCGTCCTAATGGGTTCTCGGTGCTGGTCACCGGTGCCGGAGGATTTGTTGGGACGCACTGCTCGCTTGCTTTGAAGAAACGCGGTGATGGTGTCCTGGGTCTGGATAATTTCAATACTTACTATGACCCGTCGTTGAAACGGGCGAGACAGAAGGTTTTGAAGCAACACGAGATCTTCATCGTTGAAGGAGATCTAAACGACGGCGAGTTGTTGGCTAAGCTTTTTGACATTGTTCCCTTCACACATGTGCTTCACTTGGCTGCTCAGGCGGGTGTACGCTACGCCATGGAGAATCCAATGTCCTACGTTAATTCCAACATTGCCGGATTCGTGAATCTCCTTGAAGTGGCGAAAAACGCCGATCCACAGCCGTCGATTGTATGGGCTTCTTCTAGCTCTGTTTATGGATTGAACACCGAGAATCCGTTCTCAGAATCTCACCGGACGGACCAACCGGCCAGCCTTTATGCCGCCACAAAAAAGGCGGGAGAGGAAATCGCCCACACCTACAACCATATCTACGGCCTTTCCATCACCGGACTTCGATTTTTCACCGTTTATGGGCCGTGGGGCAGACCGGACATGGCCTACTTCTTCTTCACCAAGGACATACTTCAAGGGAAACCCATTAACGTCTACCAGACTCACGACAACAAGGAGGTGGCACGTGACTTCACGTACATCGACGACATCGTGAAGGGATGCTTAGGGGCGGTGGACACGGCGGAGAAGAGCACCGGAAAAGGGGGAAAGAAGAGAGGACCCGCACAGCTAAGGATATACAATCTGGGGAACACGTCGCCGGTGACGGTGGGGAAACTGGTGTCAATTTTGGAGAGTCTATTGAACGTGAAGGCCAAGAAGCATGTGATCAAGATGCCACGAAACGGCGACGTTCCTTACACTCACGCTAACGTGAGCCTGGCGTACAGAGACTTCGGGTACAAACCAACCACCGACCTGTCCACCGGGTTAAGAAAATTCGTCAAGTGGTATGTTAGTTACTACGGCATTCAACCGAGGGTAAAAGGGTCAAATGACTCAGCTTGATCCCCATCTTTCACAAACTTTGTGTTTCCTTCCACTAAGTTGTGTTTTTTTTTTTTTTTTTTTTCATTTTTGCCCCTTTTTAAGTTATAATTTTCTTGTAAGTCGATCAAACGATTGATGCCATTGTATCGAGCCAAGGAGGGTCGATGGCGGCTTCTCAAGGACCAAGAAGCAACCATTCAATCATGAAGACGACCTTTCAAGCTTCAAGAGCAGCAAAAAAGCAAATTCTGATATCATTTGTATCATAGTCTACACTTTTTCATATAAATATATACGTGCAACATATCATATCATATCATATCATAAGAAGAAAGAAAATGGGAACGGAGGTGGGGAAGTGTAGATCTTGGGGATGGAAGGGTGCAAATTGTAATATTTTATTATCAAATGTAAATTTGAACATAATTGATTTTGTACCCAAAAGCAAAAGGGTCCAATCAAACGTTCCTCTTCAGGTAAAATCTTATATTATATTGCTTAAACCAAAATTCATGGTTATTACTTATTCATGATGATTGAATTTAGCTTTACAAGATGCCTGCAATGATTGAAGGGGGTAAATTGACAATTGAGCAAAAGTATGGGTCCCTTTTTGTGATTTTTGTTTTGTGTCGGTGGACAAAAAGAGGAAGGCAAGTTTCACACTTTTGCAGTTTTAAATGTACTATGAATTACTTTGCTGCTCTTACTTTCATGTTGATACTGTCGTTGTACTATCATTCTTGCACAAGGTACTGTTCACCATCATTTTCTTTTATTGAAATAAATCTCGTATAAACATTGACCTGATTTTGACCCGCCAAATCCCCTTATTTTGTCGTCAAAACGGTTTTGTCGGCATAATACAGCTATTATAAGCTTGATTAGGTACGATTGTACGTTCATCATTGGCTAGATTAAAGTAAGAGATGACAGTGTCGTATCCAGTAAACTATCTGAAAGGGTGCACCATTAAGATGGATCAGATGATTGCAAGCTCTCGGGTTTCATCCCTAAAGTTAACCCGGTTGGGATAAGGAGAAAATGGATTGTATCTATTTGATAAATAAAATACATTTTTCCAAATGAAGTCAATATAATAAAAACCTGTACAAAGATAAGGAATTTTCTAGATGAATGAAAATAGAACATGCGTCATGTGGTTTAAGATGAAATTTGGCAAACGCCTGATATGTATTTATAATATAACACAAACAAACATTTAATGGAATATTTTTTTTTATAAATAAAGAAAAGTGACATTTTCTTATTTGTTGATCATTCATTGGGTATAATATTTTTTATAACAAATCACCATTTAGTTATCAAAGTAAGAGCCAATCTGGACGAGCCAAAAAACAATTAGTCAAAAATCTTTTTAATTAATTTTACAATTTTTTATAATTATTTATTATATTAAAACAATATTGGAGTCAAACTTTGGTAATTCAGCAACCAAGTCAAAATTCATAATTGTCAAAGATAGATGGGGTTCTAGAAAATGGCTGGTTGGAATCCTCTATTTTTTTATATTGAAATTTTAAGTCATGTAACGTCATTCATTCTTTTGGTTCCAGAACGTAGTAATATCATAATGCAATGAATACAGAGAGAAAGACACGTTATAACGATGACGGTAACTAAATAAAAAAAAGCGGTTGAAAGGCTTTGACTAACTCCTTCTAGGGTGTAATTCCAAGCTCTCGTACGACTATGGTGGAGTGAAACGTTTCTCCACATTGGCTCGTTTAGGCAACACATGCTATAGGGTAGCTAAATTACATAAGATTTATATATTCACGTGACTTTGGCCGCAATCTAATGTTGCAGGCCATGTCKTCCGTATACCTTTACATTGACCATTGATGTAAACTCATATGTGATTTTATACTTGATTCAGCCGTTTTTTGTGTTATTTTATTTTGTTATTGTTCTCGTTTGAACCTCTCTCTATTTATCTATCTATATATAGATATATATGTAGTATAGATATTTTGTGAAAAATTTCTTTGTAAACTAAACTTGGATCAAAATTTCATTTAAATAAAAATTAGAGATTGTGGATCTAAAGATTATATATTTGTTGAAGGTTTAGAAAATAATAAAAATATTTAAGGTTAATTGAAGTCCATGCATATAGTGGCATTAATGATGAACCTGTGTTTCCTCAATTAAAAAAAAGTCGGTGATCCATGCTCAACAATTATATGAGCTAGAAAACCGTGTTTATTAAATAAATTAAATATTTCATTTTTAATTGTAATTATATTTTTTTTATTCATGATATTATTATGTAACGAGTTATTTTTTCCTATACATCCACACTTCACATTGTCTACGTCAAATTAGTCAATTATATATATATATAAATATAATTGTTGGATTTGATCTTATATTTTTGGAAAAAGAATATTTGCAAGTTTGAATATTTAATTACTAATTAACATATCATTTTTATGACCTAACTTCATATATAATCATCATCATTTTCAGCTTATTTCAACCATTCCATTTTAAATATAAGTTAAGTTGGTAGTGATCGAGTTTGGTATATATCACCATTTTTTTTAAAATATATATAAATAATTTCAATTTTTTAATCATTTTTCGTTTTCTTCATCAGTTTAAAACCAACAATAAAATGACGCCCACTCGTTGGATAAATGATGAAGCTCCATGGCAAATATCAAATTCACTTGTGGCTGTTTTCTACAAATTACGTATTCTTTATAATTATTATTCAAAATATTTTGAGTATTTGATGAATATATAAATAATATACCACGTGATCGATTAAACATAAATTAAAAATATAAATATCGTAAGTTGAAAATGACTATTTTAACCTTATTAAAGATCTAAAATCATAATTCTGATGATGAAAATTAATAAAAAAAACGATATCTTGTTTGGACATAAATGTAAGTGTAGGTTTTTGTTAGATGGTAACATGGTGGTGTCCCATACATGCATCATTCTACACATTTATATTATTTTGAGATGTTTTATATATATATATATATATATATATATATATAAATATATATATGTATGGGTGGGTTCAAATACTAACCAAAATTTTTGTATTAACTTTGTTACCAAACTCAACCAATCATATTACATCTTTTCTTTAGGTTCACATATAACTCATATATTAATGACAAGGGTAATTAAGTAATTTGTCATTTATGTAACTCCCAAATCATTAATTGGAAGTTACAAATCTAAAAACCTCAATAATTGGTGATTATGTAATATTGATATTTTTTTATACGTGTTCATGTTTTGTAATTTCGATTTATTCTATCTATAATGATATTGATTTTGTAATTGTTAAAGAATTTTTCAATTGCAAAGTTTCAATATCGTTCGAGTAATATGGATAAACCTACTAGAAAACAGATCGACAACAATGAGAATGAAAAGGTTAAAATTGTCTACGACTACAATCGAAATTCGAATTCATATGTAATTGTTAAAGAATTGTTCACAAATGTTCATATTGTGTTCATATGTATACTAGCTAGATATCTTAACATTGGCTTGCTCCTGAATGTGTTCATAATGAAGGAACTATTGTTCACAAACTATTCATATTGTGTTCATATATATGTACACTAGTTGCATATCTCAACAATGGCTTGCTTCTGAATGTGTTCATAATGAATGAACTATTGTTCACAAATTGTTCATATTGTGTTCATACCTGTTTTTTTATATATTTACTTTCGTGTAACAACTATTCTTATTATATTCATATTGTGTTCATAAATGATATACAGTCCAAGTTCATATATATGTCAATTTTTGTTCGTATTTGACACAATGATTCATATATATACACACATATATATATATATATGTGTGTGTGTGTGTGTGTGTGTTCATATGGTTCTTACATTAACAAAAATAAATTAATAAAAATAATGAGATTTTTTTGATTTTGTAACTCCCAATTAATGATATGAGAGTTACATAAAAAAGAAAATTACCTAAATACCCTTTTCCCCCTTGTTCACATATGTTTTTTGAAATTGTAAATTTAAAAAATTAATTTTTTATCATGATTAATCACATCTTTATTGTAATAATCAATGGCCAATAGTGGTTAACAAAGTTAACACAAAAATCTTGGTTAGTATTTGAACCAAACTATATATATATATATAGACTTGGGATCATGTGAGACCAATGGTTTTTCGTGAGACCCGTAAGACCAATTCTCAACCATTGGATTAGATTTAAAATCGTCAGATCTAAACATTTATAAACGCCACGAGACTTCTCAATAATTACAAAATTGTCACATTTCAAATTTAGACCATTAGATCATTAGTTTATAAATTTGATCAATGAATATAAATTGGTCTTACGGGTCTCACGAAAAACTTTTGGTCTCACGTGAACCCATATATATATATATATATATATATCATTTATTTAAATAGTTAAACTTTATACAAATAAAAAATAAAGGAAAATGTACATGAAAAGATGATGTCAACATCTTGTGTTGTCGAAACTGCATTCTGCTTGTCATGCCATCGAATTTAAGGGGAAGTTTCCAGGAAATGCTCGCCGACACTTTGTTTGCTTCTCATCGAGTTGACTAATTAAAAAAAAGTTAAAAATTAATAAAATCAAATACTCTCTTTTTAGCCCTGAGTTTCCAGGTTAATTTACACGTATCGACTAATTTTTGGACGATCATAAATAGCCTGGAGTCATAACATGTAAATCTCTGTGGCTATTGTGAATTAGAGAGAAATTGAAGATACAAATGTTTTATGTGTATTGTTACCCAAAGCCACAAATGTAATATTTATACATAAAGTTAGCTAGCTAATAATAAACTAACCAACCAATTAGAACTGCCATAAATGGAGTACTAATACCCCCCTTCAAGATGGACTTGCAAAGACGTCTTGAAGAGCCATCTTGGAAGTAATGGGCAACATCTTAGACCATGGGAGTGGTTTAGTGAATATGTCTGCGAACTGAAATTGACTTCGAATGGGCATCAACTTTATTGTGCGATCAAGAACCTTGTCATAAACAAAATGGAAACTGGACTCTATGTGCTTAGAACGGTCATGAAACGCCGAATTATAAGCTAACTGTATGGCTATTGTCACAAAAAAACGATAGTAGAATCGTTTAGAGGAACTCCAAAATCCCACAAAAGATGTTGCAACCAGACAATTTCACATGTAACAGCAGCAATGACCGTATATTCGGCCTCCATGGAAGAATGAGAAACAATAGATTGTTTCTTGGATTTCCATGAATTAAAGAAATCCCCAACAAATATGCAAAACCCAGTAATGGATTTTCGAGTATCCGACAGCTGGCCAATCAGAATCACTAAAAGCCTTCAATTGACATGGTTGTTTAGGTAGCGTTTGATACGCAGACATAATTGGACAGGACAGGACATGACAAGAGGGTAGGACTGGACGGGATAGGACTGGACGGGACAGGACTGAACATAACAGGAGTATGTCTGGTGTTTGGTA